AGAAAACAAGAAGAAGCAGTATACTAGCAAAAACCTATTAATTATATAATAGTTAAAATACTTTAACATACTTAGTAAATAATGATTTTTTGATACGAGTGTGAGAAAACAAGAAGAAGCAGTATACTAGCAAAAACCTATTAATTATATAATAGTTAAAATACTTTAACATACTGAGTAAATAATGATTTTTTGATACGAGTGTGAGAAAACAAGAAGAAGCAGTATACTACGCTATCTATTGAATCAGTAAAACAACTCGAATGACGTTCTCTTATTTTCAGTGAAAACTGAATTGCCAATTTTCATTACGCCATCTATTAATGATCATATAAATTGAACTAAATTTAAGAACGTTATTTGTTTTGATTCGGATGTTAGGTAACAATCTTGAAAGACTTACTGCGGACTGGGGTTTCGTTTAGGGTAACGTCGGCGCTGAGGGTTCCTCCGCAGATCCGGTCCACGCTGGTAATCTGCCCAAGAACCGGACGTCCGACGTTGCTGGCCATCGGGATGATCAGGTAATCGTTCTGACAGAAGTTTCCGGTTCCGGTGCTGCCAACCATAGCAGGCACCTGGTTATTGTTTCCGGTGTTTCCGCTCAACGTAAACGATTGCGACCGATTGTTCACTACACAAAACAACAAGAAAAATCAGAAACAACAATAAGAAAAATCAGAAACAACAACAAAAAAAGGTAAGATTTAAAACTATAATTTAATCGTGTTACATAATAATTAGATTTGTATATTTATTAATATTTGTATTATTTACTTTTCGCTTGTCAAATTGATTAACTGAGATTTGCGTTTTGTTCTATTACGCAAAGCCTACTAGGATTCGATTTCATGTTGTTATCCTCGTGTAACGCCGCTTCGTTAACAAGGATCGGTGATTGTATAATTGCTGCGAACATCCTATCCTATCCGGATCGGATCGGACGGATGGGATTTGCGTGCAGTTTCAAATCGATATTAAGAGGAGCAGGATTGCGAGGATGGAGGCATAACAATAAATTACCTGTGTCAGGACATTGTGTATATTGAATCCCGCAGAAGTTCCTCTCGGTCCTGATGCAGATGCCGTAATCCTGGTTGGACAGTTGCAGCCCGTTCGCAGGATCGTAATTGAAGGACATTATCTGTCCTGCGACCCCCGTGTAATACTGCAGGCATCCGTCTTCCGCTGTTCATTAGTTAACACAACATTATTGATAAATTATTGAAAGCAGTTTTATTTTTTTTTTCTTATAAATTTTTATGTTTACGAGTTTTAAAGAAATTCTCGATTGGATTCCTTCACGATGATGACATTTCAGTTTTGATTGAGCTGATGGAAAGGTCATTAATTAGCGTCATTAAATATTCTATTAGAAAAGATACAAAAAAAAACAACAACTAATAATCGAACGGCTAACATTTATTTGATTGGTTTCGAATTGCCTTGCCTGCAGCCTTACCGTTTCTGTTCTCCCAATCCACCTGTGATTATCATTTTATTATGCAAATATCATCAATTCTCTTTGACGGTCAGAAACGGTTCATGATTGACTTGCGTGTCTTCTATTGAAATATTCGTTTTTATAATTATAATCTAATATTATTTAGTATTTCTTATTTCATCACAGAATATTTAAACATTTTCAACTTCAAAATACTATTTGTTTTCTACATTAAGAAAATTCTACATATTTCAACATATATTCAGTAAATTTCCAATCAAAATTGAATTAGAAAAACAATGTTATAAAAATTCTCTTAAAATGAAGAGAGTACGATAAATAGTAGAAATTTAGGTTCAAATGAGTTTAATGTTTAGATTCAATTCGGTATATAAAGTATAAGTTTAGTTAGTAGAAGTTTACTTAGATATATCAATTATTTTTGAATGAAGAGAAAATAGAAGTTTAGGTTCAAATAAACATATGTTTAAGGAATAGCGTAACATCGGTACATAAAATCTCTTGTAGTGAAAAGATTAAAATGATAATAGATGTTTAGGTTCAAATGATAAGAAGTTTAAGGTTTAGGTTCATTGTCGGTAAAGAATTTAAGGTTTACGTTTACATCGGTAATCATGATATAAAAATTGTCTTGAAGTGAAGACATTAAATAAATAATAAGAAAATTAGGGTTTAGTTTCAAAAATAAGTTTAAGGTTTAGATTCGCTTTGATATATAAAGAGATGGAAAAATAGAAGTTTAGGGTTTGAGGCTTATTTACTGAGGTTTTTTATAATTATAATCTAATATTTAGTATTTCTTATTTCATCACAGAATATTTAGACATTTTCAACTTCAAATTACTATTTGTTTTCTACATAAAGAAAATTCTACATATTACAACATAGATTCAGTAAATTTCCAATCAAAAATTGAATTCGAAAAACAAATATCAAGCAAAAACTTTTAAATTTACTATAATTTTATTTTAATTTCAAATTAATATATTTTAGAGATTCATAATTGCAAAATCGTTAGAAAATTTGTTATTTATGGGTTTAGTCTCGACCCGGAGAAATCTTGCCATCAATTTCGGACGCGTCCGCGATATTTTGAAAGCGAATAAATATCTTTAACATCACAATTAATCAAATTTAATTAATTACTTAATTCGATCTTTCCAATGTTTTAATATTCGCAAATGGAAGACAAAATAGAAGAAGCGAAAATTCGAGTTTATATTTCAGTTTACTTATTCAATTTCACTTGGAAATACGATACTTTGATTAAGAAGTTTTTTTTTGTATTTATATAATTGTTTGTAAATCTAACCGTGATTGGAAACTTCTATAATTATTTATAAATCAAGTTGTTGATTATTGGTAAAAGATGTTTTTTTTTTGTTCCTTATCAAATTACAGCAATTTTCATAACTAAGTTTGTTTAAACTTATAAAATAAATTGAATTAATAACGTTTACATAAATTGTTAAATTTTAAACGTTCATCCGAATTCTGTTTTTAATGAAATTTATGTTGCATTGCATTAGTTTGTGGACGGCGGAACCGAAAGTTTGCCATGCAAATTTATTCGTTTTCTAAATAAGTATATTGTTGGTTTATACGAAACGACGTGTTTTCAAGTCTAATTTATTCGTCGACGAACGAAGATCTCTAATTGATTTTTTTGGCGCGCATTCTTGAATACATTAAGATTAATAATATACAGAATAGATACAAAAAAAAAATAACAAATTATGTTTTGGAAATGTATACCCGAAATGTTTTACTATTTCGAATGTTGTTTTCGGGCAAATTATCAATTTTACATAAATAATTTTACTAGATTTTTTTGCTGCATATTTTATTTACTAATTAATAGATTTACTTTTGTTGATTATTGTGAATGTATAATTTTGTTGTAAGTTGTTTTTTTTTTATATTAATATTGGAGGATTTGGAAGGGTTTTTATGTAATCTTTTCGGGATTAAATTTAGTTTATTCAATGGAGTTTTTCAGTATTTGAGCTTTCGAATTAGCATAAGGAATGGTTAAAAGATTATCGATTATCTTCTAATGGTTTTCCTTGTCTGCTTCGCTTTTTCGTAATGATAGAATGACGTCGGTGAGTGGATTAAATTCGTCGGAAAATGGACCTCAAACATGTTTTGTGATTAATTGAGAATCCGGTCGAGCGACAAGTTTGTCCCTTCTTCCGCTACGTCGGACACGTTTATATCAATTCCCTTTTGGAATGAACAAAATAATAGAAAGTTCAGGGTTTAGGGTTTACCTCGGTATATTGATGTAATCAAATCACTATGAATGAACAAAGTAAAAATAAAAGTAGTACTTTAGGGTTTAGATGCTGCTTGGTATAACAATTTAGTTTAGAATGAATAGAGTAAGAAAATTTAATAAAAAAATAGTGTTTAGGTTCAAATGAAAAGAAGTTTAAGGTTCAGGTTCATTTTGGTATAACGATGTGTATGTTATATAAATTCTCTTAAAATGAAGAAAGTGCGATAATTAGTAAAAATTTAGGTTCAAATGAAAATAAGTTTAAGAGATCACTAAGTAGATGTTTAGGATTGAAGTTTACTTAGATGTTTGGAATGAAGAGAAAATAGAAGTTTACGTTCAAATAAACATATGTTTAAGGATTAGCGTCACATCGGTACATAAAATCTCTTGTAATGAAAAGAGTAAAATGTTAATAGAAGTTTAGGTTCAAATGAAAAGAAGTTTAAGGTTTA